AATTCGAAATCTTAAGTTCGACGTAGAAGGGGAACATCCTCTCACAATTCCAGCTTTTTTGACTCCCGAATTAGCAATTTTCCGGCCAAAAATATTCACGGGCTCGCACGTGAGAATCACGCAAAGCTGGGGGCTGAATTTGAAATCTCTGAGTTCTACATGGACGAGGAACATCCACTCAAAATTTCAGCTTTCCAGCTCTTTTGGCTTCCTAGTTAGTAATTTCCCCACCCGAAATTTTCTCGGGCCCGAACTGGGAACAACCCCTTGAAATTTCAACCTCCCAGCTTTTCTGGTTTCCGAGTTTGCGATTTTCCCGCCAAAAATTCCATGTGCTCGTACGCAGGGCCCGGGCGCGCGTGAAGGTGGGTATCACGGTCCTTGGCTGGGGAACCCACTAGAAAAATTTTAGCCCGGACCTTGCTTAGTTGCTGGGTTAAAATACTCGGACAGACGCACATATTTACATGCACAAAAGCACACAGAAACACACACTCACATATACGCGTACCATGGATCGTCACAACATGCGTTTTTGCATTTGTATATATGCAAAAAAGTATGAAAAGTATAGCTCTAAAGAGCCCCAAGCGGACAGGAACGAGGCCCACTCATCTTGCATCGACAACGAAATGACCAAGGTGGATTCGATCTCTCCTCTAAAGAGCACGCACCTGTTTCAGAGATGTGTTAGGCCACCACACAAATCGCCTCTGCACTGGTCACTCAGTATAAGTGTATAACTCCAGCTCTACCTCAGCAGCTGCGAGGGTTTTTATTGGCTTTTTGCCGATATCCCGAAACAAGATCATCCAAAACGGCAATCCTAAATATCACAGCGACGCAGATCTATTTCCGTAATCCTTGGTCCACTAGCAGTGCCCACGGGCACACCAGCAAAAATCCATGCTGTTACCTCTACTTCCTTTAGCTAGACCACCACAAACCGCAAAAAACTCCCCTATAGGCCAGTTACAAAATTTTCATGCCAAAGACCTCGGCAGCGTAGAGACCTTTAACAAAGTGGATCAAAAACATGTATATTGCAGGTATTATTAAAATTCTTGCCAAATAGGCCCGAAATCTCAAATTCCTGCGTAGTGGCAACGGGTGACTGCAGTCCTCTTATTTATAAGAGCTAAATGGAAAAGAAGCTGGAAGAAATTAAAGCTGGTAGCTGCTACACATGCAACAGAAACGAATAAACACATAACTACCAGCAGTTCCAGCTTCTTCCCCACGACTGCGATCAGAAGCGCTTAAAAACTGAGGCCCGGAGCGAGTCAAAATTAACAATGGACAACTTACTCCACAACTTTATCAAGTGTGTCTTCGGGCAAAATGCACACATCCTGCATTGCATCTACATTATATGCCAGATAGTACAGACATGTTGCAACTACAACAGATGCCACTGATTCACGATGGACGCGCACCAGGAGCTCCACGCCACCAGCAGCCACAAAATCCAAAGCCAACTTGCGATGGACCAGAAGGCCCGAAAGATACTGAAAAATAAACAACAAATGGAATTCTCACGGGACACAATGAACTCGAGGCACTTCCATGAAATTACTCAAATGTAGAAACTACTTCAAACTTCACACCCCAAAAACAGGAAAGCATTTAAGAGTGGCCTGACTGAAAGTATTTTAACAACAAATACCGATAAGACTGTCAGCGATCTCATTTTTCAAGCGTCACTTAAGACCAAGCTATCTACGGCTCAATTCGTTGATGAATCAGGCATGGGGTAACAAATATGACTGAAAGCAATCAACGGAGGGATTAGTTTTCCCAGCAGCATGGCTGCACCTGGCATCAAATCATACTCGTTTAACATTTCAACGTATGACAAACATCCAGCAAACCCACTCTGATTCTGCTAACGCAAAACATATGGCTTCAAAACCACCGGGTTCCCTTATGGTGTGCAAATGCAAAAACCCATAGCACTGCTATTAAACTCATCAGCTATTCCAGACATTCCAGGCCAAAATAAACAGGCGCCCTCAAGAGCAAATAAATAGCAACGCGCACCAGACTAGCCAGTGCGATCATGCGTTTTGTGCAATTCAACCCATCTAACGATTGCCTATTAATGATTTTCACTGCTTTGTACTTTTGTCTATGCAAAAACAGTTCAAAAATTGGAAAATAGTTAAAAATCTCACGCACCAGCGCATGAAAGCTGAATTCGAAACTTTGAAGGGCGAATATCTTTCCGTGATTCCCTAGTTAATAGTTTAGCCACCAAAATTCTCACAAGGCCGTAGGTGATACTCAACAGCGAGGAAACGCTGAATTTGAATAGGCAAGGGAGAGCGTGGGCAAGGAGTTATTACCCTAAAATCTCAGCTTTCTAGACTTCGTGGTTCCCGAGATAATAATTTACCCGTAAAAACTTTCAGCACAAAACGGGATGGCTTAGCAACAATACACGTAAAATGAGATAAAAAATTATTTGCTGCTACAAGAAACTAATACCTTCAAAACACAAAATACAAGCCGGCTATCGTAATTCTGTGCGCAACGCAGATAACGCAATATGATATCCATTGAGCGATTTTCATATGTTTCTTTCAAAAGCTAAAAATATCTATGTCAGTAAAATAAAACCAACGCTTTAAGTTTCGTAAAAACTGAATCCATAAGCTAATCTTCCACAGTGGTAAATGCTCCTTGCAGAATCCTTTATACTGAGATTTAGTTGTACAAGTTCTGCTTTCGCGAAAATGAACCCAAAATTCATCTTCCAGAATACCTAATTGAACCGGTAAGACA